TTTTTTGGCAGAGATGAGTTTCGGGAGAAAAGAGTACGAGTTTCTGAAGGAGATCGGGCTCGGGCCGAGGAATTTAGGTTGCTATGTTAATGGGGTTTGGCAAGGGAATGGGCCGGTGGTAACTTCAGTTAATCCAGCTGATAATCAGGTTTATTTTGAGCTTAAGTTTTTAATCTTTTGTTTATGTCTGTGTAATTATTTATCTAATGTTTTGGATTTGTTAAAAGATTGTCATGCTCTTGGTTGTGATGGCGTTGATCACAATCCATGCTTCACTGAGTAGAAGGGGTAAATACTAAAATCTGAATAAATGTTGCATTTTAGTTTGTGTAATATTGATAGAGGAATATGAAAATTCGATAATTAGTGGTTGTGCAAGATGAGTACTTCCTTTACTTAACTGGAAATCGGTCCTGCTTGTAGTGATACGTGATAACATGAAGATTGAAGTGAATGCAAATGTTGGGTCATAAATTTACAGCTTCCTGATTACATTGTTTGTCCCTTTCCTGGTTTAGCCGATTGCTGAAGTTTCAGAAGCATCTCTTGAAGACTATGAGGAGGGCATGCAAGCATGTGATCAAGCCACCAAGATATGGATGCAGGTGATTTATCATTATTTGACGAACACAATTATCAGGCGTAAAAGTTTAATTTGAATCTTACTAATTTAATGTTTAATGGTGCTCGTTGGGTAATGATATATGATTTTTCCTTTCATAACAGATTCCAGCACCAAAGAGAGGTGAAATTGTGAGGCAGATTGGCGATGCACTCCGAGTTAAACTCCATCATCTTGGTCGGCTCGTTTCTCTAGAAATGGGGAAAATACTTGCTGAAGGAATAGGAGAGGTTCAGGTACTTTATGGTATTTGGTCATAAAATATAGTAATGAATTTATATTTTTTATGTGATAATCAGTACCTCCCACAGGGGTTCTGTTTCTGTTGGTATTTGAATGGAAAATGTTCGGTAAGAAATGGACTGAATTGAATTTTGATTTCTTTTTTTTTTTGGATATAAGTTTCTTAGATGAAATCTGCATATTTCATTATTTTTGATTGAGAGTCTCTATTTTCTGCCAAATTTGTTATGAAAATTTGATAAAAACTGACTATGTAGTGCTCTCTCAACATGAAGTATGAGAATTTCAGATGACGTTTATGCAATTACTCGCATTGAAGAATTTTCCAGCTATAATTCATTGCCATATTTCTTGAATACCAGTTAGGTTTATCACATTTATTTTATCTCATCTGCCATGCCAAGTAAATTTTGTTTCTATCCTTGACTAAGAAGAAAGGAAAAAACAAAGAATGAGAAAAGAAAAGAAAACTTAGTTGTCTTTCGGTGGTAAAGCATTTGTTCTACCTGTACTTGGCTGATATAACAAGCTCCTGTATGTACATTGTCAGTCAGAAGATATCTCATGCCAAATTTTGTGATGTTATCAGAAATATCATTTTCTTTGTTATATGAACGTGTACATATAGGTTGTACAAAAGAACAACACTCAGTCTTTAATTCATATGTTTCCAAACAGGTTATCATGCATTAAAAGCAATACTTTATGTTGTGTTGACTGTTCAAACCGTTTATTGGTAAATATATACATTTGCCCGCCATCTCATATATGATAATCATTAGTTAGGAGCATTTTTATATGAGCTCACAACCTTGCAATTTGTGCTCACTTTTCCGCCTCGTCTTCTACATTATGGTTTCTTCTAAGATCATCCCTGCATCAAAGGTAGACTTTGAAAGACATATAAATGCACTTATCTGAGTATGAGAAATTTAAAATCACGTTTTATTAGCGGAGCTTGATATTTTCATCTCTATCTAAAACGATATCAATTACAAAACAAAATGTTTTCTGAGGTCAATCAGAATCCCCTAAAACTGTTTCCTCTCTTTTATGTGGACTTGCATGAACATCAATATTTTTCTTAGTTACGGCTCTTATCTAAAAAATGATGATATTGTAGGAAATAATTGATATGTGTGATTTCGCTGTGGGATTAAGTCGTCAGCTAAATGGATCAGTTATACCTTCTGAACGTAAGCACAGTCAATATCAAAACCCTTTTACCATTCGACGCACTTTGTATTATTTTTACCAGTAGCTTTCGAAATCATTTATTGTTGGGTGTTTTTAGATTGCACTGTTTTACGTTAATGGCCACATATTTCAATGTACTACGCCAAACTAACATGTTTTCCTTATTGATTGTGATGTGTTGATAGGACCAAACCACATGATGTTGGAGGTATTCTATATTTCTTTTACCTCTGGGATCATAATTTTCTTTCTATTTTAGTGCATACCACCTATTGTAATATTTTCGTATGATAAACAGACATGGAATCCCTTAGGGATAGTTGGTGTAATTACGGCGTTCAATTTTCCATGTGCTGTACTAGGTGAGCACTTCTGTATTTGGTGACTTTACATCTTTTACCTCAGATATTTTTATATGTGAAAATGTTTTTTTTGGTAATTGATTGTAGGATGGAATGCATGCATCGCTCTAGTTTGTGGAAATTCTGTAGTCTGGTGGGTCCATTGCGCTCCACTTTCTACATAATAAATCGTCTATGCAAACAGTAGCACACACTTTAAAAGTCCTATTGCTGTTCAATTATTGCTTTTATTGTACCATATTAAGGATTATCTAGCCATCTCTCTCGAAACTAGGCCTTTCCAAGGAGATATTCAAAGAAGAGCAACGAGGCTATGATAATTTGTTGTCACTTTTATTTTTCTGATATCTATTGCATGATCTGAATGTTCCTCATCTTAGATTTTTTTTGTCTCTCTTTAAGTCAGAAGGTGGATTTTGAAGTCTTATTATTTTGTGTGTGTTGAAGGGTGTGATATTATTATTATAATAATAATTATTATTTTTATTAATTCAGGAAGGGTGCTCCAACCACACCTCTGATTACCATAGCTATGACAAAGATTATTGCGGGAGTATTGGAAAGAAACAATTTACCAGGTGCAATTTTCACATCATTTTGTGGGGGGGCTGAAATTGGTCAAGCTATAGCTAAAGATCCTCGCATTCCTTTAGTTTCCTTCACTGGGAGCTCAAAGGTAACACTGTTTACTGCCATTTTCATGTTCATACTCAGCTTTCGTGAGAAGGATTACAAAAACCATTATCTTTTTCATCACAGATATTTTTATTCTCATTTAAATTAAATTTCAACTAGTACACATACCCATGTGATGTAGTCTTTAATATAAACAAGTAGTTTTATATTATTTAATATTGATTTATTCATTTATTTTATTTATCAATCGAGATTTATTTGAGTATTCTATCAAAGACCAAAAAGATCGAAAACTTTTAAGTTAAGACTTTAGTTTATATTAATTTGAGATTCGAGATGGGTGAATTATCAATCCACCCGAACGATTTAAAATTATCATTGAAATCTCTAAAATGTAAAATATGTTTTATATATTATATTACGTGTTTTTATTTATACATTTTATATGATACGAGTCATGGCATACAAAATTCACTCTTATTTTTAATACCGTTTCCAAATTTTTATTTATGGTTTGATTTTTTATTTATACCTTTCTATAATTATATTCGAAATCTTAAATTGATAGTTAAATTGTTTCGAGCCCCGAACTGATAAATTTAATCTTTCAGGCATAGAAATAAATTATCTTTCAGGTCCGAATTGATAGTCGACTCATCTTTCAAGACTCCGACTCATAAAACTCCATTATATTTGTTATATTTTTTCTAATTTAAAAATTCATGTTACAAAATATGATTTTTTATACTCGAGTTAATTATGTGCATATTTACTGGGGATGCAATCCGTTAATATGATATTTTAAACTCATGGGTTTGATGTCTTAAGTTGATGTAATTAACCACTTTTCTATTATTAATACAAATAGTTCAAATCTGTATCATCTATTGAGGACTGCATAATTACAAAGATCTCCAATCTAAATAATTTCTTTATTAGTCAAATAAAAATAAAGATTATGGAAATAAATAACTAGTTTTATTCATTCCTTGTACTAATTGGCATATAAAAGCAAGAAATAATTAGTCTTTTCATATATATATATTTTTTTAAATTAAAATACAGTGAAGATTATGGAAAGAAATTAGTCTTTCCTTTTCAACAAAAAAGGAAAAGAAATCTATTAATATATAATAAGGATTAACATAATTCACTTCTAGAAACACTTTCCCGCCAATTTCATTAATTATTATCTAAAAATAGTAAATTAACAAAATTGCTATTTATCAGCATATCTGTTTTCCTTTTTTTTGGGGAATACAATCAGAAATTTTTATATTGGTAGCCAATATGAAATCAAAATTCAAATAAATCTCCTCTTATTGTGGCCCATATAAATCTCCTCTTCAATGTCGCATAGCCCGCGTTAATTAAGGAGTCTGCCAAAAAAAAAAAAAAAAGATTAAGCTAAATCAATTCATCAACTAATTAAATAATATAATAATACATTTGGGAGATCCATCAAAGTAGGACTCTAATGTAAACCAATTCATCAACTAATTTTTTTCGTTTCACGCATGAAAAAAGGCATTTTAACATATTAATATTTTAATTCGAATGAATTACCCAAAATCCTATACCATCCGATTTTAGACAATCCCAAAAATCATATTAATATAAATTAATATAGATTAATTGATTCTTATATATATAGATAACATATTTTATCAACTTCTCCAATTACTGCACATAAAAAAAACGCAGAGAACTTTCGCAAAATAGAAAAAAACAATGGCACCGTTATTTGATACACTCCATGCATTTAGTAGGTCCAACAAACCTTATTTGATATGGAAAGCAATCAATATCTATATATATAATAAGGATTAACATAAATCATTTTTAGCAACCTTTTCCCGCCAAAATATATTAATTTACATACTATAAAAAGTAATCTTAAAACATATTTTAATTAAAAACGAATGGACTGCATTAATTGCGTCCCATATATATTTCCCTTAAAAACCGGATTCTATTTCATTTAGCAGATTTTTTTTTTCGAACTAGAAATTAGTTTGGTGAATGTTGATACAATATCCCATCTAAAAGTTATCACTAATTTTTCGGTAAGATTTGACTTACACGATTTGCATATCAAACTTAATTTAATATTTATCATATGAAAACAATATTAAAAATCTTAAATTAATGTTTTTCATTTTAGCGATAAACATGATAACCTTGAAAAGTGGATTTTGTTATGTTATTTAGTTGCTATTATTTTTATCCAATCTTTAAGCAAATTTTGTTTTGCATTTTGAAATAAAAATAAATTTATAAATCCTGATGAAATACCCAAAATCCTATACCATGCGATTTTTATTCCCTTTCCATAATTTTTTTTATTAAAAGACAATCCCAAAAATCATATTAATATAAATATATATAGATTAATTGATTCCTATATATATAGATAACATATTTTATCAACTTCTCCAATCACTCCACATAAAAAAAATGCAGAGAACTTTCGCAAAATAGAAAAAAACAATGGCAACGTTATTTGATACACTCCATGCAGTTAATAGGTCCAACAGATTTTATTTATTATGAAGAGCAATCTATATCTATATATATAATAAGGATTAACATAAATCATATTTAGCAACCTTTTCCCGCCAAAATGTATTAATTACATACTATAAAAAGTAATCTTAAAACATATTTTAATTAAAATCGAATGGACTGCATTAATTGCGTCCCATAATATATTTCCCTTAAAAACCGAATTCTATTTCATTTAGCAGTTTTTTTTTTCGAACTAGAAATCACTTTGGAGAATGTTGATACAATATCCCATCTAAAAGTTATCGCTAATTTTTCGGTAAGATTTGACTTACACGGTTTGCATATCAAACTTAATTTAATAATTATCGTATGAAAACAATATTAATCTTAAATTAGTGTTTTCCATTTCAACGATAAACATGATACGATAACCTTGAAAAGTTGATTTTGTTATGTTATTTAGTTGCTGTTATTTTTATCGAATCTTTAAGCAGATTTTTTCTTTGCATTTTGAAATAAAAATAAATTTATAAATCTTGATGGAATATTCTTTCATTTTAACGGATAGACATAATAATTTAGCCCATCAATGCATATTATCACAATAACTACATGTCTATCTCTCTCTATACATAATAAGAATATAATTTTAGAATTTATTTTAAATAATGAAAAAATAAGCATTAACTGCATTCATTATAATTTATATATATATAAAAAGAATAAGGTTAATTGATTATTAGAAAACATTTACCGCAAAAAACATTAATTACATACTATAGATGGAACTAATGTAATATGTGTTTAAATAAAAATAAATAAATCATTACTGCATTGTTTTCATATAACTAGACTTTCAGTTTATATTTGTTTTAGTCAAGACTCAGCTTCCTTTATTTACGTTGATAATTGTTTGGTAGACAAATGTTATGTAGATAATTAGACAACAGATTTTAGAATTTTTATTTATGAGAATTCTTTTTTATTTTAGTTATAGGATTATCTACATTTGTTAATGAAAGAAAGATTTGCAATGAAATATATTCAAATCTCTTTTTACTGTGACACGTTTACAAATGTAATGTCTAATGTTTTGCATGTCTAATGCATATTATTTGGTAATACATTATGGTGTAGATTAGTATTACTATAATTATTATTATTATTATTACTATTATTATTATTATTAGGTATCTTAATGAATAAGTGATGTAGAGCGTAGTACAATTGGGGAAGAAGAAGAGATTCTCTCTCGAAGAACACACAGAATTTTTATTTAATCGTCAAAAACTGCTTTCTCATTCTCCCAATAACATATAAATAACACTGATAAAAATAAGACTCCTAAACTTGCCCCACAATTGCAAGTTATTTATTTTCCTACCCCAAAATACTACTTATTAAAGGACATAAAATAAAAGAGTACGACTAATTACGAGACAATAAAAACTGATTAAACCCGGAGTCGGTCATATTTATTCAAATACGCAATAGCGGTCTCGTCTTCATCATCCTCCCCCGGTTGAGCAGGATTCGGCCTCGAATCCGAACCGGTCTCGTCTTCGTCGGAGTTCTCGCCCGCAAATGGAACCAAGTGCTTGACGTTGAAAACGTCCGAAGTACGAACATGCGAAGGAAAAGACGTAAACGATAAGCATTGGGATTAATCTTCTCAACTACCTCGACTGGGCCAATCTTCCGGGCTGACAGTTTATTATACTCGTGGGCCGGGAATCGATCCTTCGTCAAGACGGCCCAAACGTAATGACCAACCGAGAATTCCACATGGCGGCGCCGCACATCCGCCGATCGTTTGTAAGCCGCGGTCGTGTCCTCAAGGCGGGCCCTGGTCGCCGCGTGGGTCTCCCGCAGGTCGGCAAGGAGCTC